AATTAGCAAATTATTTAAACACACTTTATTTACTCCACACTTATTCGAAGCACTTTTAAACTTTATAATAATCAATTTCGAACACTTACCGATCATTTTAATACGTTAATTTAGGTTTATGAGCACTTTTAAAACTTGACGGAATCCGTTTGACAGTTAACCGACACGTAAACTTTATCACATAATTTCGAACACAAATCGATCACGCACCGTCTCGAAACCGATTTTAACACTTTCCTCGTAGATTTCTCGAATTTTTGAGACCTCGATCGAAATTCTCCGTCCAAAATTAAGCTCGCAATTAATTAAAAAGCGGTTAGCGCGCGTTCGGCAATCTTCGGCGCTTAATGTAGGCGAAAAACAAAACGAAGCGGTCACGTGACTTTTGCAGACCTTCGGGAGAAAATTTACCACGGCGCCGTCGTCCGAGTTACCTCCTCGAGGTAAACGGAAAAAGAAAGAGAAAACTTGCCCGCAGGTATCGAAGCCGATTTCGAGCCCGTATCTCTTCGCCGGAACGCGCTATTCAAAAACTCCGGTTTTTCACCTCTCACCCCCCTCCGGGGGGTGGTAGGGCGACCCGCGACCCCTCGTCTCGTAGATCTCGTCGAGATCTACAATCGCGCAATTGTACGTTTTGCTCTAACTCTAACGGTTCGGCCTGTAGAAGGCGTCAAAGTTGGAAAATGCGAAAAACCACCTTTTCGAGAGAGGCCCTCCGGGTCGCGCGGTTCCCAAACGGGACCATAGAATTGAATCGCACCCCGGCACAAATACGCTCCTCGACGTCGGCCAAGACCTCAGAAAACCCCTATAGGATCTTTGACTTAGTTTTCGAGTTACGAATTTTTTTCTAAAATTTTCAATTTTTTCGCTTCTTATGGCAGCTACCCCGACGGGTGCCGCGGGAATTTCCTTAACCCCACCGAAAGTCGCGCCAACTATCTAAACTCCCCGAACCGGCGTCTCGACTCCGTAACTCGAACCGTATGGAAACGGCAAATTTTTATCCGCGCCCGCGCACCTCGACGACGATGCTCCCCAGCCACCCAGCGAATTTTCCCAGGTCCCAAATTCTCAGAATCGATGCGAAATCGCTTAAAAAACGTACGATAAAATTTTCACAAAATCGGTAGTACAATTAACGAAATTAAAAATGAAAATCGAGTAAACGGTTGAGTTCCTTATTTAAGGATCGAAAAACCGAAGCTTCGCTTCGGTTTTTCGATCCCGTTTAACGATGTACACGCAAGAAAATCAAAAGATGGCAACTCTGTTGGTTTCAACAGATGGTGGGCTTCTAAGCACAACGTCCTAATCATTCGAGAATACCTATCGCACAAATTTTTTATTTTCCAGGTATTTTCGCACGATTAAGGGTGTTGTGCGTGGGTGCACCATTCTGGTGAAACCAACAATTTCCAACTTTTTTTTTTTGTGTGTGCCGTATATCGTTGAATTCGTAATAAATGCTACTCAACACATCAGTGTGTAATTTTTTGGTTGTCTTATTGTAAAAGTTATGCACGTTTGACTTTCAAAAACAGCATCTCAGGAAATAATTCGTGTGGGGGGGGGGGGCGAAATTTGATGGCCGTCTGGCACACCTTAATGATATAGGCTACCTAAGGACGGACGGACGGACAAAACGCAAACAATAGCACATTTTTTTGTAATTCTTCAAAAATGCGCTAAAAAGTGTGGGTCTGGGGGGGGGGGGGGGGGGTAAATGTATCTCTCATTGTATTTTAACTAATTAAAGGTCTCAACGAAAGGAACGTTTTCTACAACCATAGCCTCCTCCTCGACCTCTTATCGTGATCGGGTATATTCCCTTATACCTCAAGAACGGATTGTCGGAAGAGGGTAGTCACAAAGGGCGATTGAGATGTCTGCAAGAAATATATCCATTGGTGATGTCAAACCAAAAGCTATTTCGGTTAAAAAAAATGCGTTTTATCTGCACAAGAGTTGTGCACAATTTATACTTGTTTCGAATGACGTCATTTCAAGTTATGTCATGTTGAGCATATTTTTTAAATTGAACACCCTGTATTTGTTTAGTTTTTTATGATCCTCTAGAAGAGGTTCTTTCTACCAACTACCGCCCTTCTTTCTTACCCCTTATCAATATAGGGAGGGGGGGGGCTGGTTTTATCCTGCATGATAGGTACTCCAATGAAAGATCTCAACAAAAAATTTCTACCAACCATAATCCTCCTCATCTCCTTATCGTAATCGGATATAATTCCTTATATCTCAAGAGCGCATTGCCGGAGGAGGGTCCTTACAAAGGGCGATTTGGACGTATGTAAGAAAATTAATATACACATTGGTGACGTTAAAAATATCTAATAGTAGGGTCAAAACTGTTTGTGCGAAAATGTCGAAAACGGAGCATCGGACGATGTTACTCACAAAGAGCGTTTAGGGCGTAGGGGTGTTAAAAAACATGCTTTATCTGCACAAGAGTTGTGCACAATTTGTACTTGTTTCTTATTTTGACGAGTATGATCACCCCCTGAAATATCTGCATAACATTTATTAACACCTTGTATAATGCCAAAAAAATCAAGCTTCCTTCGACACTCCATTTTCGAGATATTTACGCTTAACTTTTCACATTGCCAGTGGATACGTCTCTCGTTGTAACGGGAACCCTTAAATAGAGTTGGATGTTTGAATTTCATCACAGTTATGCTCGTTACGTTTTATGTATTGCCCCATTGAGTACTACTTAGAAGGTATACAGGGCGCTTAAATTAAAGGGTCGATCATTCCAACATTTTGCTAAATCTAGATTTAGGTAGTCCAGTAAATTTTGACCAATTTTCGACAAATAAAAACATTAATCTGTAATTGGATTGGATTGCACACAATGACTGTGTGACTGTGTAGTTGTCCATTACGCATGTGTAATTTTGGAGGGAAATTAACGGCTAATTTTCTTTGGAATTTGAAAAGGCCATTGATAAAAACTCTTCCGTTTTCGGGTAAGTCAAATTCTAAGCAGAAACTAAATTCGTCCTTCACAATAATGCTCGAATATAGACGTTACCGAGCTCGGGTTATTAAAATGTTATGTCAAGATAAAGACGCTTAAAGTCGTGCCATTCGATGAGAAAGGAAGGAGAATCAAAAAATCAAAATAATTCGTAGACATTCCCAACCTTCGTACCAGGAAGGGGTTGTTACTCCAAACAAGATGAGCTCTTTGAGAAGAACCAGAGGGGACAACCAAAACTGGATAGACTGAGGACATAATGTACCGCAATCAACACCCTCTCGGAAACAACATCACCCAATGAGTGGAATTCTTTTGATCCCTAAGTAATAGTTCGAACGACTCAATAACATACGTGATCGACTTGAGCGGAGATCCGGACTGAGCCAGTTCACGTTTGTGATAAAAGATATGATTGTTGGGAAAAAACATGGGTTGACTGATTTTTCACTCACGGTATGATGCAGTGAAAGCAACACGAGTTTTTTGCAGTAAATGTAATACCGCCGAGTGAAAAAATCTTCACTCAACGGTAATACATATAATTACCATTAAAATCATGAGGGCCCCTCTCAGTTTTGATCCAAAAAATTCTATAGGTACTCGTAGTAGGGGAGCTAGCACGAAATCCACTGAACGAAAATGATCAAAATTTTAACCGATGGAGTTCCATTTTGCCCTATCAGAGTATGCTAAAATCGATCGTCTGCCGCCTCAGGTCATATGACTTAAGGCGCTGCGGGTATTTCTTGCGGTACCAATTCTGAAAGGTTGTTTTTCGAGATAATAAGTTATACACCAAATGAAAACGTTGATAATAGCTCTTAAAAAAATATTTAAAAAAATCGCGCGCATTTGATAACTCCGTAAAAAAACAATTCTTAGTCGGTTTTTCACGAACTTTCTACGGATATAACTAGGTTACCGTTGGAAGAATGAAGCTGATTTTTTTACAGACTAATGATAGATACAGCCAATGACTATGAGAGTGTTTCTTTTTTAAATTTTTTCTCTAATTATAAGATATCTTATAATGTTAAGATAATAAGATAATCTTATAATTATAGAAAAAATTTAAAAACGAAACACCGTTAAGTCATTAGTAGTACCTATCATCAGTCTGTAAAAAAAATCAGCTTCAGGCGGAGATGGAAATTACCTTAGACCAGTTACGAGTATTCTACCGGCTACTCCGAATTAGGTTTTCCTGCAGTTTTCCTAATTCGTAAGGTAAATACCGGAGTAGTATAGACCAACTTAAGACCTTCTGCAGAGGCACCTCTAAATAGCATTATGCGGGCCACTCTGTAATTGGGCGCATGCCTGTTGAGGGCCCAGAACAAGAGAAGGATAATAAATAAATAAATAAATAAATAAATAAATAAATAAATAAATAAATAAATAAATAAATAAATAAATAAATAAATAAATAAATAAATAAATAAATAAACAAATAAATGAATAAATAAATAAAAGATATAAAGTGGGCCTGCCTTCATGTATAATTCAGTCAGTCGGCCCCTTTTGTTTATTACAGATGGACTTCTCCGATTAAAATCGTAATACATTGTGCACACCGTTTAAAAATCCTAGTGAACTCGAAATATCACAAAATACAAATTGTTGGAAGTTAGTGTGATTTCAAAGGTAAGGTAAGGTGTGATTAATACCAAGTATAGGGAACGGATAATGGTAGATACAGACGAATTTAAGTGCATATTACCAAAGTACCATATTACCATATATTACCACCTTACACCCCTCGGCGAAAGCGCCTCGAGATGTAATCTTGGTGCTCAGGCAATAATACTGTACTTCTCTACCTTGATATATATTGTACTATTTTAGGCAATCTATAATGTCATCACGTATATGTTTGTGTGTCACCGACGCGACGCCTGTAGTACTTATAATGTATGAAAATAGATTATTGGTAGGTATAATCATTGATTATACAGTGTGTATAATCAATGGTATGATGTATAATGTATATCATTCAATTAATTCTACTTACTTTTTTACATTGGTTCCATTTATCCGGTAACTCCTGTAACTGAATGTATATTTCTTCAGAAAACTCTACGCCATATTCCTTAAGTAACTCCATAATTTCTTTTATTGGCTGGAACATTCCGTCGGTCGCCGTCTGTCGGTCCCTAATCTTAACCAAATATCCCATTACCGATAGAAGACCTTCATAATCATCTTCCGAGAGCTCCACTTGCAATGCAGCGATGGCTTCAGCCACAAACGAATCCAACTCGCTCAAACTACTGATAACGTGCTCAAAAAGATGCTGTTTAAACATACTGCCCCATTTGCAAATTATATTCAAGACCGCCTGCCGCAAAGGTCTAACATCGATTCGTAACCACCCAGATATAATCCTTTCTGAATCGAAACTGTGAATCGTCTTATACAACGCGTCGTACACATCAATTTGTTCTTTAAATTGAACGGTTGTTGGGGGTCTTTCTTTGATCGCCGTTTCATCCTCCTTAAGCATTTCGATCTCTTCATACGATAGCATTCTGGAAAATCGCAAAAAATATTGCAAGTACTCCCGCCGATCGTCCTGCCATAAATAAGCGTAATCGTCAAAAATACCTAAATATTCTTCGGCCGCTTCCATGCCGCTTTTCACGCGCGCTATGAATTGTAGATTTGTGTCTTTAATATCCGCACAAGCAAGCGCGTCGTTAAGGTAATCAGGGTCCTCGTTCGTTTTATCAATTCTCGCCATGCATTTTGCCATACAGTACATATCCTCAATAAGTGACCTTACCAGATTCAAAAAACCGGAAATATCGTCAGGATCAATAGAAGGAACATACACGACTTCGTCGTCGTGAATTTCCAGTAGAAGTTCGAATAAAGGAAATAAGTTTGGGTTCTTGACAGTCGATGACTCCTCTTCCAAGTAGTTTACGCTGGTTTTAATTGCATTTAACATTACGTTTAGGATTAAGTTATCAACGTGCATTTCGTAAGGCCTCCATAGCAACTCCCTGCTTTGGCGCAGTTCTTCTTTTGCCTCTTCTTTTAGGCGTTTGGCTTCTTGTTCTTTGGACTCGTGCGGTTTAATTTCTGATGTTCTCTTGTCCTTTTTCGGTTCAGGTTTGGCGCCTTTTTTGCCGGGAGGTTCTTTAGGTTCCTCCACCAGAACTTCTTCCTGAAAATAAGTGCAATAAGTGCATGGTTACTTAAGTAATTGATTTGGGGACTACTTGAACTTCTTCTATCTCCTCAGGTTCATCTTCAATGTTAAAAAACAGCTTGTAGTTAAGTTGGAGGGCAAACACAGCATTACGTGAGGTTGCGCTTATTTGCCCATAACGCTTGTTTAGCCGCTCAAGTCTGTCATCTAATTGTAAGGTGTTCTTGCACAAGCCTTCTTTACGTTCGTAGAGCGGTTCCTTTCCCCAACTCTGAATTTCTGCAATAATACTACCAATGTTCTTTTGCGCTGCGAGGACACGGTCATACAGCTGCTTTATGTTATCGTATAGGTTCTTCACAAACTCATCACCTAGAAAACGATATTGCAAAAACGGTTAATATATGACCTTACTCAACTGTTTACTGTCCAATCAATCGAATCGATTAAAACGTTCAATTGAACATTTATCTGATCCATTTCGTCTTTGAATAACGCATATTCTTCAGGCAAAGTATTCGTCTTGAGGTGATTGTAATATTCCACGATTGTGTTCAGTTGCTGACAGCTTTGGAACAATTCTTCATTTCGCTGGAATAGCTCTTCAATGTCCGGCGCAAAATCGGTGATATCTAACATTTTCATATACTTAACTTCACGTAAAATCGCAACTAATTCATCGTCAAGGTTTAACGAAATTAATTCTCCATTTCGAACTATGCGAAGTTTGCTTAAACTTGTTGAGATTTGGCCTGGTGCACGATCCATCCATTCGGATAGCACTTTTGAGAATTCATCGTCTATGAGAAGTAACATCTGCTCCCATTTAGAGAACGCATATAGAGCGTCGGGGCTTTCGACGATTTTGTTTTCCAACAATTTAAAATCTTCGCCAGGTTTGAGTATCCTTTGCTTCAGTTTGTACAACCACCACAAAATACCGGCCACTGGAGGGAAATTCAGATTTATTGGTATACCATTCTTTTTGCCTTCGTCAAATAGAACTTTCACCATGTCCACTTCTTCGGAAAAGTATTGTATTAAAAAGGCATACTTTCCAATTATCGCGTTCCTTATAGCGGGCCGGTCCAATAGCGTACCAGATATGTTGATAAATTTGAAAATGCTTTCCATGTTGTAACATTCATCAAAGACCTGTATGAATATACAAGCCAAACGCGAGTCAAAATCCTGACACTTCTCCATGAATCTTTCATTGTCGGCGACTATTTGGTTGTTCGCAGGATCTAAAAAGTCATAAGTAATTTGCACGAAATGAACATAAACTCTGGTAAATTCTTCAAAAATTTCTTCGCATTGTTTCGAAAGAACGCGACCTTTGATACCACCAATTTCAACCTTTTCTAATTTCTGAAATTCTATATTTGTGGCGATAATAGATCGTACGAGCCGCAATCGTTCGGTAAAGTCCATCAAGTGTTGGAATACAGTCCTTGGATGAAAAGTCCACGGTTTAGGTTGTAATTCGGCTTTTCGAAAATAAGAGGCTACATTTTCACGGACTGCGTGGAAACATGAGTGGAAGAATTCGATCAGGTTTATGCATTTGTCGACCTTTATGAGCATATCTTCGGGTTCGACTTGGAATATCGACCCCGGATCCAGTTGTGTCGAAGCAGCAATAATAATTTGATTTGCAATTTCTTTTAGTAATGTTACCATTCGAGCACTCGTGCAGTAGTATTGAGAGTTCCCCCAGAGTAGCCCTAAGCAGTGCACTAGAGGTTTAATAAAAGGTCTCGTTTCCAGAAATTCGCTTTCATCCAACTTTTCAATGTGAGGTCTTACGGCCTTGAGGTACATACATATATCCTTTGCCTCAAGAATCGCCGCTACAACGTCTTGAAATATACATTTAAAACACGATAAATATGAGCTGTTGGTCAGTTCTAAATAAAGGATCATCTTTTTCACTCTTGGGTCTCGGAACTGATCGAAAATACTCTCCAAGTTTTTCAATCTGCTGTTCCAAAAGTTAAATTCCGCAATAGGCGTGGGATTTTCTCCGTGCGCGAGTGCTTCCTCCGACGTTTGCTGCAGGACATCATTGCACAAAGAAGTCCACTGAAGTACGCTTCCTTCGATTGAGGATTTTAACCCCAAATCTACTTCCGCGCCGCCCGATTCTCTAAACTGCAGTGAAGCGTCATAAATCTTGTCAATTCCGGGCGGCATAGGCAGCACAGTTTGTCCACGTATAGCTCCTTTAATCTACGAGTTTGAATTAGATGATCACTTCGAAATCACAACTCTACCTGAATAAGCTTATTTTTGAAGGCGTAGACATGTTTGATCATATCTTCCACAACTTCAGATGGCCATTGTGCCCGATTATCCGGATTACTGATAAAGGGTAGTAAACCGTGTTCAACCAAAGCCGACAGTTCTTCAATCGGCTTTGGGGATTTGTCGCCCATAAAAAGTACCTCCCTGATATTTGTCGCAGTAATAACGGCGTTCTTTTTTCGGATAAAGTACGAACACTTCGTCTTCAAATTTGAGGGAAAATCGGTAACGGGAACCAATTGGCCGCCGAGATTGGTCATCATTATGAGCCTGGGCGCATCGGCTTTATTGAAGAAGTTTAGAATTATTCTCTGAAAGGTGACGTTATGTGAACGGTTGATGATGACAAAACTTACGGCGTATTCATCCGTTCCCCACATCTTATTCCATTTATCGGTTTTTAGTTTCCATGATTTTGACAAGTAATTGAACAGGAATTCAACTCTATAGTCTCTGTCGTCGTCGTCTGCTTGCTTTTTCTTGTCTCCCATTTTATATTACATACGTTTTTTTAAGTATCTCTCTGTAGGCAGGTATAAAATTGTAAAATTGTTTCTAATAAAAACAAAATTCGTAGACATCATGACACTAGCTGAAATTTATTTTAGAAGGTACAACCATTCCCTACAGGTGGTAATGGTACAACTCGTATTAGTGCTCCCTTGTGTGCAAAGCAAAGATATGGAGTTATATGACATATTTATGAGTTTGGTTATTCAATTTTCGTAGGCAAAAGGTGAAAGGGCATATGAAAGCTGTTTCTCCAAGTCTCTGGTTTCTCCCGTCGGAAGGTTTTGAGATCCATGGGAAGACATGGATTACGAACACCAAGGTCCAAGCGCATTGTTCGGAACGTTCCCTCGAACCTTGAGAACCTGCGAGAGGAGGAACCATGAGCCTCTTACCCACAGGGTTCACCGATCAGCACAACGCGTAGGTACGTGAATCAACAGGAGTAAACAGAGAAACCCAAATGCGAATGGAATGCGAAGATCGGTCAGAGGCCTGTACGTACAAAGAGAACAGCAACGGAAAAATCCAAGATCCTTACGATGGTAACTTTCAAGTCGCGAATCTTCTCTTTCGATGAGACTTTTCAGGTTATTGAGCACAAAAAACAATGTCAGCATGTCCTATGTCCTATGACCCCTTTGCTTGAAAGGAATAAAGAAAAGTCACGTATATGTGATTTAACAGAGGGAAGGTGCCTGAGCACACGTCTACTGAGGGTAAGTATGCACACTATTTTAATCATAAGCGTCTAATTTTCTGTTGTTGCAACAAAAATCTTCAAATCGCTGTAAATTTCACCAAAAATGTTGGTGGTTTATAGGTACACTAGGAGAATGGCTTCAGGTTTTTTTCCTGCATACATTTCCTAAGAATCTGCAGGTGTGCAAGTACAAAATGTTCGTCTGCAAAATCCATGACTCGGTGTCTCGGTCCATAGAACTAGCATCGGTTTTGAAGTTTCGGTTTACCTTATTTGCTCTAACTGTGCTACCATAAAGGGGAATCTGCTCGTCTGTCTACTGTCATTACACGTTATGACTCAGCCTGTAGAATGCCGGACTATCCCAAGATGATGCGATTGGCAAAGTATTCTTATCTGTGAATAATGTAATGTAATGTAATGTAACCGGTAACGTTACGTTATGTAGTGTAAAGTAACGTAACTTAATGTAACGGTACGTAACGTAATGTGATGGAACGTAATGAAATATTATCTTGGTCGAGATATACCATTAAATGGTTATAATGACACGCCAATTTACAGAATAAAAAGGAGTATACAATAACACAGACAATTAAATTCATACAAGACTAGCAATATTCAAATAAATACCTATGAAAATGCATACATTTCTGACAGTTGGTTACCGCGCTACTTTTTTTGAAAGAATGGGCAAGCGTTCTGCATCTTAGCCACATACAGTGAATTTTTTTTAAATGCGAACATAGGAGTATCCATGCAATGTAATTTCACTATGTTCGATTTTAAAAAAAACACATCAATCTATTGAGTAGTTCAAATGAGTAGTAGATACAATTGACAGCTGTCACATTTTTAAAAATACCGCCGTCCAATTTAATTACGAAATCGGTTAGGTTATTGCTTAGAATGTCAAGGAGGATACTTCGAACATTTATTGTAATTGTTTGCGTTATTTATTTTCTTATTTTCTTCATTTATGTATTGAATAGATCAAATTAGTAGAATACCAGGTGCACATGACCTACAAATAATTGAAGGTTGGTTCACAATGAATTGTGATGTCAGCGCGTGCCATGTGAAGTCAAGTTATCGTAAGTTTAAGAAAAATGTATCCTAAAGTTGCTATGGCCTCACATGGCTTCTTTAAAAAATCTTACCGAGTGCTTTTCATCATAAAAACTGTAGAGTTGCTGTTCATAGTCACACAAGTTGAGCGTTTTGGGAATGTGAACCGCGCACACCTCATAGATTGATGTGTTTTTTTAAAAATCGAACATAGGGAAATTACATTGCATGCAAACTCCTATGTTCGCATTAAAAAAAATTCACTGTATGTAAGCTACGTCGCCATTATCAGAAAATACGAGGCCCTTTCGTGGCAGTGCTTTAATTTTCGAGTTAAGCAATGTCAATAGTGTTCTTACAGTTACACTATGGTACTATCATTTTACTGACGAGTTTTGTATCAAATTCAGCGACGTCGGAAGTGAATAACGGTTGGGGGGGGGGCAAAAATCAGCGACCATGGAGTCTGAAAGGTTCCTCCCATGCAAAATTGTGTAGGAATTAATGCAAAGCAGTGGGTTCTTTAAGTGACCCTGAAACCTGTTTATTTAATCAATCAAATAATGTATTTTGGAAAGAGAAGTTTTGAAAAAAATTTAAAAAAAGTGTCGGAGGATGTCTAGTTATATGCAAATGAGCAACTCAGAGGCACTTGACTCGATTGAGAAAACCATAGCCATATATCATTAATATTTTATTTAAAAAATAATGAAGAACTAGAACATACAAAAGTTACAAAGATTTTGTTCCTATTTATTGCACTATTGAGCATTGTAAAGAAAAGCAAGTATAAAAAATTAAATATTAATTAATACGTACATTATCGGCAACAAAATACGGTTTGGTACTACCCCACTCTCCGTGAAAAAGAAGCTAAGGGAGACACTTCTCAGCAACCTATCGAAGAATTAGCAAGACACATGATTATGAACGATTTTGGGGGTGATGTGTTGTTCATTCCCAGTAGTACTAGCTATAGGTAGTAAGTGGTGTGCGAATATGTTTGTTTTTTTTTCTTTTGTTTTTTTTATCTTTTTTAATAAGACATAGCAGAGGGTCTGTAACATTTAGTATTATATGTGTCTTACTTTTGGTTGGCTAGTGTGTTTGTTGTGTATATATATTATTGTTCATGTATATTTTATATTTTGTTTGTTGTGTTTTTTTCTACTGTGAGAGGCTGTAGGAAGAACGCCGATGATTAGATTCTTAGGCGATACAGTCTTTTTGGCTATTGGACATATTAATTTTGTTAGTTTGTGAACTCCATTTGCCAATAAATGCATATTATTATTATGGTCGGTGTATCTTGTGAGAACTCGGGTCTAGTCTGGTTAACTAATCGCACGGATTAAAATCAAGTAGGTAACGATTAGTGTCTGTGTCTGTGTCTGGTGAAGTTATGTAGGGTCCTAAAAAAATAATAATAAAATAAATAAATAAATAAAATAAAAATTCACACACTCACATTGGAAATCTAGAGATAATTCACACTTACCAACATTATTATTATTATTATGGTCGGTGTTTCTTGTGAGAACTCAGGTCTGGCCTGGTTAACTAATCGCACGGATTAAAATCAAGTAACGATTAGTGTCTGTGTCTGTGTCTGTGTCTGGTGAAGTTATGTAGGGTCCTTAAAAAAAAAAAAAAAAAAAAATCACACACGTACATTGGACATCTAGGGATATTTGTCTGTATTTCAGAGTTGTTTACAACGGGTGTATTTATCTTGTACGATGAGTGTGTTGTTTGTGTTGAGTAGTGCTTCAATTTCGTGCCTGATTTGTTCCTGTGTGTCTAATGTAAGGAGTGTATTTTTAATGATAACTCTACGTTGGTCTGCAATGCGTTGTTCTGTTAAGTGTGCTAAATGTGGGTATTGTGTAATGAACGCGTGATATAGTTTACCTCTGTATGCTGTCCTGTCCGTTTCCATCTTCGTGATCTCCAGATACGTACCGAAAATGAAGCGATTCATCCCTTCGTCCCATTTCATACGTCTTTTGGAGGTTTCCTTTGCGCTGGTCCCATCCACAAGCGGTTGAGAAGCAGGCACAAAGGTCATATATTATTATTATTATTATATCCCAAAAATTTTCCTTTTTTCCGCAGTTTTGCTGGCAAATCTTTTCAATACAGGATGTTTACGGTCTTCTCTGATCATTTTAAGGGCATTACAGCTCAAAAGGAGTCGACAAACCCCAAAACACCTTAGCAAAAATTTAATAAACGAGATAATATTTGTTTTATTTTATACATTAAACGATTAATCTGTGTACTAATCTAGCAATCTACTACTTAATCAGCATTGTCCACTTAAATTATTACAGAGAAGACCGTAAACACCCTGTATATCCTCTACTTCTACACTTTTTGTAATTTCTGCATGCACATGCAGTAGAAGACGTGTTAGTCGCTTTTGAGTGATTTAATTACTCATTCTTAGAGGGGGCGCGGCCCCCCTTGTGTAAAAACGGAGGGGGCGACTCGCCCCCTCTGACCCATACTTCCGACGTCGCTGATTAAATTCGTCTTCTTTTAATATAAAATGTCTAATGATATAAACCTTTTTATTAATATTATTATGTCGGTTTTGACTGGAGCCTGGTAAAGTGAATGGCGACAAGAAAAATAGTCAAGAAAAGTATTACCTACCGCCACTGTTATGGAAACTAAAATTTTCATTGCATATAACCACAGATCTAAACACTGTGTTTAGATCTGTGATATAACTAAGTATGCGATCAAAAATGAGTTGCTGTCGAGTCATCTTTGGAATTTTTGTTTACAGGGGAAATCGTCTTAGACCATATAGTACATGAACTGCTAATTGTAACAAAAATATGGTCAAGGACATCGCCTGGGTATGTGAGTTTCAGGGTAAACGAGCCTGTCCGAAGTTGTCCGATTAGATACGATGTGAGACTTTCAACCTATAAATTAACAAACGTCAATTAATTATTCGTTTAGATATGGCAAAAAAAGCAAACATATTCTTATTTGTGGACGTATAGAAGATAATCAAGTGTATTTAAAGCTTCCTGTACTACGCGGTTACCATAAAAGCTACTCTTTACGCGATGCGAGTTGTGTTCATACGACTTTAGTTTACCCTGAGATTCACATACCCACGACTACAGTGCCCTCTATCCATGACCACCCATTTTGTATTGAAAGCATAGAGCTAATAGCAGTCCATGTACTATAATATGGTCATTGAATTGATAGTTATAAATTCAATGATATGGTCTAAGGAAATCGTACTTAACTTCCAAAGGTGACTCGACAACACCTCATTATTGATCGCCCGTTAGTAGGCATTAAATAAAGGTTTCATAGCGATTTTCGGAAAACAAGTTATTTTAACGTTTATTATAATAAAGAAGTCTACTCTCTCAATTGAAGGTATCCTCCAACGCAAGCACCACTCTTGTATAAGATTACAACTTTGCACTAACTGTTGAAGTGCAATCTTTTGAAGCTCCGTTAATTTTAAAGCGAGCTCGATGTTGCCATGCAACTTGATTTTTCCTTCAGAGAACGCTTGCTGGACGTCCAATTTTCCGGTAAGCAGGTCTACAATATCATCTTCTTTTGACATGAAGGTAACATCAGGTTTAACTAAATAGGTAGGTAAATTAGTAGTAAAAGCGGAACGGCTCAAAATAAGATATTATCAGAAATATTATTAAATTCAACAGTACCCTTTCCGGTTTTTGTGTTTACTAGCCAATATCCTTCTTCGCCGGTCCTCTTCTGTACTTTAAACCCATAAATACCCCTAAATTTGTCAATCGTGTTTTGTTCATCCAGCAACAAAACTTGCTCCAATATTTTAAAATACGGCGCTACTGTAAAACCAAGTTCGTCTTTTGCCATTGCAACTTCTTTTCTGGTTTGGTCGTTATATTGCGAAGACATCCCTAATGCATAAAGGGCAACAACGGTAGCACCACCAAAACCCAAATTATGTTGCAATGCCAACGTCGCTCCTTCCACTTGTCGTTTTCCTGCTTCACCTCGAATTTGGTAGCATAATTCTGCACACTGAGCAATACCTGTCGCTCCCAGTGGATGACCCTTTGATATTAAACCACCGCTTGGATTCACTACGTATTTTCCGCCATAAGTGTTGTCACCACGATCTATCATCTCGCCAGCTTTCCCAAGTTCACACAAGCCTAAAGCTTCGTAAGTGAGTAATTCGTTCACTGAAAAACAGTCGTGCACTTCAACAACTTGAACATCGGAAGGTTTTCGGTTTGTCTTTTGGAACAAGCGTTGAGCAACTGTTCTGGTCATATCAAAACCGACCTACGCGTTTGGTAAATTCATTTACTGTTAAATTAGGTACAAATGAAAAACTTACTAAATTAATGAAAGTTCTATCAAATGAAGACGGAAGATCGGTACACATTTCCATTCCTAAAACTTCAACCGCTCGACTTTCTAAACCATGAGTTCGCACAAAGTGCTCAGAAGCTAAAACTGCAGCTGCAGCACCATCACTTATTGGACAACATTGTAGTTTCGTTAACAAGCCAAAAATGTTAGGTGATTTTAAAATCTCATCTAAGCTGTATTCATCGCGACATTGTGCATATCTTCAAATTCACAAGCTTAAAATTAAAATACAACCTAGAGACAGACTTACGGATTGTTTACGGAATGTTTGTGGTTTTTGTAAGCAATTTTCGCAAAATGTTCTAATCGAGTTCCATATTTCTTCACGTGCTCCATACCGGCATGGCTAAACAATTGAACAGGAAAAGGTTCAGAGCTGAGTCCATGAAGATCAGACATTATACGAATATGCTTTTCTAACGGACTGCTTCTGTCTTTAAACTAAAAATAATCTCTAAATAGAAAAAAAGGCAACTAACTATTATAGGTATACTGTAAACTGTACTTTTGGTGAATTAACATACATCGTGTTTCAAAGTTCCTCTCTCCATTTTTTCAAATCCCAAAGCAAGTACACAATCACTGATACTGAATTCTACGGCCTCTTTCGCTGCGTGTAGTGCTGTACCTCCAGATGAAGAATTATTGTTCATGTTAAAAATAGGCATGCCAGTCATTCCGGATTCATAAATAACGCGCTGACCACAACACGAATCTCCTAATAAAAAAAGTAAGTACCTACCTGTGTACCCTACCTAATCTATATGATACTTTTTGAATGGTTTCATTATCTTTCAAGATACAAGCAGCCGGTCGGTTTGCAGCAAGTCTTTATACTATTTAAAGTCGCAGATATTATAGAGGTAGGTACACAATCTTTCCGACACTACGTATAATACGTAGATTGGACTTAGATCTGAGACAAAAATTTCTTATTTGTAACAATAGCCTTCGAAACGCATATGAGTCAAAATACAGTCTGCACCAAAACTCTCACCCACATGAACATGCGCCCAAAAATCGTACATCACCAATAGCTCCCAAAAACGAATGCAAGTGAGGGACTTTGGCACCTATTTGTTATAACTGCATTTTCTTAGAATATAAATCACATACCATAAACATAGCCAACGTAAGCTCGCTTTATTTGTTCAATTAAAACGTTTGCGTCGTTGAGAGCCTTGCAAAGAGCTTCCTTAGCAAAATCAACATAATCACCACCTGTTCCTGGTTTTACAAACTAAAGATTATAATGCTAATTAGTCAAATTAGTGACCACTTTCTATTTAGACCTTAGACATTCCAACCCCAATCACAAAAACCCGTCCCATTTTCTGAAATTTAGCAACTAACGACAGTATGTGGTTAAAACGAGTGAGATTATTATATTGACATTGTTACACAATCCACAAGCTAAATACTGTTACAGCTTTGAGTATAAATATACAAAGGTCACAGAGGCAGATTAGGTATGTGTTTATTATAATGTTCCCAATTTTCCACGGCTATTGATTGGAATGGGGGTTGGAAAATTAAAAGTTCATAGTGCTGCTTCGGGTAGCTCAAGTCGCAGCAGGGTTCGGTAGTAAATAAAACCAGAATATAGTATTTTCGTTCTAGGATTGCCGGTATGTCGTTGGCGCTTTATGTTTGAATACTCATCCCTACATTGTTCTTGTCCTTTTCTAACTTATGTAAATCATTCTCACCTTAAATGTTGGGCATTTCTGAACGCCCTGGGCAATTATCAGATAAACAAGGCTATTAACCATTGAGATATAATGATATTTTTCTTTTGTTACAAGTTTGAAGATCAGTGGTTATAAACATTTTATTTGCCAATGTTGTGATACATGATATGTACATAGAATGATTGATGTCTAATTTAATTGCGACATACCCAAAGTTTGAGAACCGCTTACTTTTACGAAATCTTGAACCATACAGTTTACAAGTGGGAATTCCTAATTACATACCGGCAATGCTAGAACGAAAGCACTATACATATTCTTCAATCCAAAGAATAATGAAGTAATAAATATAAATTTAAATTAGCACGCCTATGTTGACTGGCTCCGCACGTCAATGGTTTGTTACCGGTCCGAAGTTGACAAAACGCATCTCCGTACAATCTGCGCATGCGAAAGAAACGTCAAAGTTCAAATATAAATATAGTTTTCTAGTTTGCGCGCACGTCATCGCGGTGTATTCATAGATAATTAATCTATGGGTGTATTACATCATATCGGCAACGGATAGACCAGAATAAGTATGTCAGATACCATACGAACAGTACTGCATTGTGGTTGGTATACCCATTACACCAACGATCTACATTCTACAGTATACAAACACAAACGCGGCACTGTTTGTATAGTCAGGGAGACATTTCTGAAAAAGGCTCTCTAAAATCATGTCTAACGGCGTTTTGTGCTACAAACTGGCAACAGGCGGTTCTAGACTAATTTGCCCCCGCTCAAAACGATACGCCCTGTTGCCAGACCCGATTTTGTCATTTAAGCCCTTAAATCCAAGATGGCGGCCAAAATTGCCGTTTTTTGGTTATTTCGAGCCCACAAGGCAGCCACTGAACGTTTTGGGTAGTTTAAGGATAGAATATCATCTAGTACACACGACGACACCGTTTAGGCACACTTTCGTATTTATATTAGGTTCAGATACCTACTATGTATAAAAAAATAATGCACCGATGGCGTGCGCGCAAACTTAGGAAAATCATACTATGCCGTCTTATAGTTTATAGGTGAACACTAAAATAAGTGTGTTAATGTCTTAATGGTCAGTTACCATCCATTAACTATCAACACCGGATATAAACAACGGCGATTAAAACCACCTATAATACAATAAAAAGCGAAGTTATATACGTAAATACTATGCAGGTCAGTCGTCAGTCACCATTAACGCTTCGATGCGATGGGGCACCGACTCGCGTAATGCAAGGCAATTGGACGGAATACGAACTAAAATACGGGTTGGCGCAAAAAGGTTTTGGTTTTGCTTCGCCTCGCTCGCTGGCGTTGCCTTGTTTACGTGGATTTGGGTAATGCCTACGAGTAAAGTAGGGTAATACCATTTGTATTATATTATGGTAATACTATAAAAGCCGGACTCGCGGCACGCATTGGTATAATTCTGGGACATATTTATTAATTTTTTAGAATGCGGGATTGTGCTGGCCATTACGGGACCGTCCCGCTGAAGACGGGACGATTGGTCGCCTGCGGGCGGGCAGGACCGCCCCCATTCTTAGTTCACCGCTCGCGGTTCGTAAAACCATTGGAAGATAATTTGGTAAAACTAGATACCCACAACCCACTAGCTCTCTAATCTCGAATGCAATTGTGTTAGAACCATGGTTACAACATAGAGTAATCTTACTTATTTAATGCCAAAATACTCATGTCTATGGTTTGGATCACCGAAAGAAAGCGCCATACCTATATAGTAATTTTATACAGTGCGAGTGTAAAGTATGGAACTATCACACAAAATCTTTTCGTACGTTTTTGAAAAAATCCTCTAACACGTCCATTTTTATTTTAAATGAGCATATTTTACTGTAATTGTCACTTAAGGACCGTCTTTTGTGTTTGAGATATGTAAGTGATAATTTTATTTTTTTCAAAAATCTACTAAAATGTTTGTTGTTATAGTTTCAGATTTTACACTCGCATATTGTATAAAATTATATTTTCAATTCAGTAAATTCGTCTTTTATGCAGTGTGATGAAAGCACCGATGCTACGACAATGTTGCCAGCTGATAGTATGCCTATGTGCGATTTTTGATAGTGTTATATAAAGGAAGAGATCTTGTTCTCGAATTCCTAAACAACTTCAAAATCCATTGTTAAGGCTGCCACATCCGATTTTTTTAAAAACATGTTATATCTCGAAAATATGAATGACATTTTTTGTTTTTTTTTTACTATAACTTCGCCATTTGTAGAGCGACAAGAAACTTTGAAAAGGAAAATTAATAAGCATAACTTTCCCTATTTACGCTGTTTTGTATCCGTTATGGTTTAAGAGTCCCCACAGTGAAAATGGAAAAATCCCACTCCCCGTAACATGTAATTTTTTTATGAAATACGTTTTTTGTAGTAGTAGTTTTATTTTTCGCGGGTGTGAGTAATTTTAGTTTTCAGAAAGAGAGCGCCATGGAAAAGTTTAAATATAAAATTTAAATTGGGATTACAAGCACAATAATAGAAAAAAGTTTAAAATTATGAGGAATTAGAAAAATTGATTTTTGGAATTCGTTCACTTTCTAAGCAGTGTTAAATTAAAAAACTGTTTGATGGGCTTACTTCTGCTAATCAATAGTCGTATAAAATCAAATATATTTTACTAATAACAAATTCATTGAATTTACAAATGTATTACACAATTGACTTAGCTTGTTGGGACACCCTGTATAGTAGGCGAGGTTTATGTTCAATCATCGTTTATGTTGCTCAATAAAATGAGATTAAAATCTATAACAAACTTAGAACACATTAGTTTGATTTTTGACACATTATTGTACATAAACTTATGGGAGATGTACATAATTGTCATTCTCTTTCTAGCTAGAGCAATTAGAAGTTTAGAGAGAACACATTTATTGCTTTAAACCAGTGTTGTACAATGTTTAATTACGAAACAAGTTCAATTGTAAATAATACTATATTTTGTATAAAAATATATTACCTGTACATATTTTGTTTTGATTACATACCTATACAAACCATGGATTATTAAAAATATATGATACTAATATCGTTACTCACTTAATCTATGACTAGCTGATTGTACAGCAATGATTGTTGCAATGAGGTAGATTCTTCATTAATTTTAACATGGAACAATGGGGAATGAATTTTATTAGTGTTCTGCTAGAACGGCAATAAACAAGGCTATAACAACATTTCTTTTTTAAATCTTAGTTAGGTACAGCAGAATACTGATAAAACTTTTTTGTACTAAGATGGTGTAAGTGATGAACTTTAAAACGGATTAATATCTAAAAAAATATATATATTATGTATACATAGATAAAACTAAGTTCTTTTTTATATGTTCGAAATAATTATAATTTATCTACGATATAATTTTATAGCACCAATAATTCTTTGTAGGTTACAAGTTTAAAAATACTCTTTGGGAACACAACTGAAATATCTTAAATATAAGTTCAGTATTTATAAACATGTACTCAACAATAAAATTTATAATAAGCGACGAATTATAACAACTTGAAAATTTAATTTACTAGCGATTTACTGTGGAGGAGGTGGCGGCGGTGGTTGCGATTGAAACGTTTGACTAAAACCGGGCAACGGTAAATTTTTATCTTCAGTTGTTTGTAACAGTCTCATAATTTCAGTGTCCGATAAGACGGGTTCTTCTAATAATTGCGGATTTAGGGGACCAGCAGATCTTTCTTCGATCAACTCGCTCGGCGGGCTCGTCTCGATCTCCTCCAGTACGCCACTACCCAAATCCTTTAATTCGGATTGAGACGAAGGGCCCGGTAGAAACTGCAATTGTTCGGACGTCGACGGTAGGATAGGATTTAATTCGGTGAATCCCTGAGGAAAAAATAAACTGCCGACCTCGATGTCGGTGATGTCGATTTTCTCGATCTTGGTACTGACGGGAAAGTCGACGGGGCTGGCCTCGTAACGTTCCGGATTTGAAATACTCGATTCCGACGGTTCCGATTTAATACTGAATTCGGGTATTTCAATTTTAATCGTTTGCGCTTCGAGAGGTAAATTTTTCGAATGAGATTTTTTTATGTGCCTAACTAAGTGGTCTTTTCTGCCGAATCTTTGCGGACAAAATTGACATAGGAAGTCGCGCATGCCCGTGTGAACGACCAGATGACGGCGGACATCCTTGCGTGTAAAGAATTTTCGGTCGCAGTGGTCGCAGGTAAATTTCTTTTCGTTGGGATTTTTCACCGCCCTACTACCTGCGTGTATTTTTAAATGGTATAAAATCTCATCTTTCGTTTCGAATGTTTTTGAACAAATTTGACACTCTAAGCTGCCCTCTTCTGCTGCGTGCAAAGCTGTATGCTTCTTAAAGCTTATTAGAGACGTGTACTCCTTTTTGCAGTTATGCTTCTCACACACGTAATGCTTTTTACTTGGACTATGAACTTTGATATGATTTTTTAAATGATCTTTTCGATGGAACGTTCGTTCACAAACTGAACAACTGAATGGTTTCCTATCAGAATGAATTAAAACGTGCCTAACTAACTTAAACTTTGAACTAAAAGTTTTCTTACAATGTTCACATTTATGTGGCGAATTACCATTATGGCTTATTTGATGTTTCGCTAAGTTTGCTCTGTTTTGAAAACTCTTTTGACAAACAGGGCACACGAAGTTTTTTTTCGCTGTTTGTGACGTTTGTGGCTTTTTGGATTTTTTCAGATGTAATTTCGCGACAGGTTTGGTTTTAGAAATCTGTAGTCCAGAAGGTCCAGGTTCTGCTAAACTTAGGAATGTTTTTTCTGACTTAGTGGGTGTTTGCAAAACATCTGCGGAGCTTGGATAAAATTTCGTTTGACCGTAATAATCTTCTATACGAGCTTGTTCTAAAGTTACAGTTTCGACTTTCTCACCGCCGCTTTGAGGCAGCGATTGGCTAGAACTATAATCTACGAAACTACCAAACTGAGGTAACCTACTTATTACAGTCATGCCTGTAGCTGATGATTCTGTTGGTAATTCACCGAGACTTTCACTGGCAGTGCTTGGTTTGGCTGGCGGTTCGTCCCCTTTCTCCGGATTAACTTGGGCGGCAGAAATTCTACGTACTACCTCTCGAACTTTACCTTTATCGCCTGGTGTTCCCATGGCGATATCAGTGTCGGCATCATCATCTGTAAGAACCACCATACGTACATCATTTAAATGAGTTGTGCAAGTAGTCAATTTAATAACACAATATCTTAATGGTTGTTTATTAAAATTATTTATGCAGATATTTGATGACCTCAACAATAAAAAATGATAGGAAATTAACATTTGTTTAAAGTTAATTAAAACACAAATATATACCTACCTCCAGTTTATGAAAGATTAACAAAAGGAATTTATAAAAATTTGGAAAAGTACAAAACTTAAAATGTTGCTAAGACCAAATAGTAGGACGAGATTAAAAGGAACGTTATCTGTTTCAGTGGTATTTAGGTCGCAAAAACGGATCTAAACCATGAGCTTTCTACTTAAATGTCAGCTGTCCATTATTAATCCTTATGACTGTAGAAAATACTTACACTAACGTGTTATGATGAGCGGTTATCACTAGAACACTGTGTGGGAAATGATGTGCATCATAAATAATTCAAATTTCGTCAAGAAATTGCACTTATCTGGTCAACATCATTCTTACAATACGTATCACGTGTATAAAGCCCATTTTAACCGTAACGAGGCCTTAATTCTACACCTCTATTTCAAAAAAAGGAACATTGAACGTAAGTGAACGAATGTCGATCTTAATTTCGTTTTTAACGTGCTACACTTCCACATTCACCAGCTCACAGAAATTGTAAACACAAACGTCACTGTCATGCAGCCATATTGAATTAGTTTATCAAAGAGGTGAATGGAGCCTGCGTGCGAATGCGTAAACGTCGTGGTGGGACATTTTCATTCATATTTTGTATATCAAATAGGAAAAACGAGTTTGGATTCCCCTAGGTATTCCAGTTATACAGGATGTACTCAATTTTCTATACCTCCTCCATTCACGGGTTTTTCTAGATTCATTGAGAATTGTTCTTAATTTTATAGATTTGTACCTTTGAATAACAGAACAGAACCTGTCTTTTACTAGAAAACAACTAGCAATTATTCAATCGAAACTGGTTTCTGATTAAATTCAAAATGAGTGCACAAGACAATAAGTTCTTATTCTTTGAAAATTATGGTAATGATGCAAATTAAAAGCCGTGTTTAACATAAATTATATTCAGTCAATGCCGTTTATAATTACAAGCCATGATAAAACATTTGGCAACACTGTATTTGAGAACATTTGTAGCTTAGGCCCTTAAGGTGGGTTCATAGTTCTCCGTTAATCCGTTGCGTTGATCCGTCAAACGGATAGAAAATTTTGTTAAGGTTCATAACAATCCGTCCACATTGTACATTTGCAACGTATAAGCATAACCTAAATTTTATTTTGTACTGCACCCTCCGTGATTTTCAGTATGTAAAAATGGTACGAAAGTAAGAATACGTTGCTATCTGATTATTACCGTGAAGAACGAATAGGCGAACGCTGTTAACGTACCAAACATAACCTCACTCTTTTTAAAAACGGACCAACGGAAACGTAAATGTTCAACTTCAACCAACTTTTCCGTCGTAAACGGACGACGTATAATTTAAATATTTGCTGTCTTCTGATTGGCTAACGGACAAACGGAAACGTATGAACGGAGAGCTATGAACTTACCTTTAGGCCATACAGTAGGTAGCTTTGTTTATTGGAGTGAGAAATAAAGATTTCTACTCTGAGGTAGGTACACTGTACGGACTAGAGACGCGTGCTATGAGAATGTGGTGTATCTTAGCCGTTTTAGAAACTCGGGGTTTTCGCCCCTTTTTTGCGAAACTTTTATGCCACGTGAAAACGAAAGAGTTGACTTTTGATATCTTATTTATTGCTACCAATGTAAGATAAAAAAAGGTAAAAACTATTTTTTATATATATTGTTATGTAGAATCCACTGGCGTTGTCAACAAAAATTGCACTACCATTTCTGAGATATTACCTAATGGTTGGTATTTGTTAAATGCAACTCCCTATATATCTTAATGTCCATTATTTGCATTCATTTTCCTGATGGATGCAGGATGTGTCACAACCTATATTTTTTGTATACATGTATCAAATTCGGGGACTACCATGGGGATCTCGTAAACTGTAAGATATAGGTAGGTAGTTTAAATTTGACAAAGTGGCGTATTTTGATACTTAACAAAATGCCGTTTTGAAACTGAAAAGATTTCGACTACTTTCGGAGATATCCTGAAAAAACGAAATTTGGCAAAATCTTTTTTATTTTTTACCGAAGTTATATTTAAAGAAAAGAGATATTTCAAAATAAATGACACATTATTATGTCCGCTTTTTTCCCTCTGATGCTAGTTTTAAATTTTAAGTTTGTCGTTTCGTCTACGGTTAACCATATCATCAAGATTATATTACTTTTTTTCATTTGATAGAAAGCATTTTTTTCTGATTTTAAATATAAATGTCACTATTTTTGAATAAGAAAACTACGAACATACACTACCCACGACAAAGTTTACCAACCAAAAATGAAGATATTTTAACAATACATATTTAAAATAGTGATGTTCACAGTTTTGAAATCAGAAAAAAATGCTCAATCAAATGACACAAAAAGTAAAAATGACTTCCATAAGAAAAAATAAAGTTGATGATGGTTAGCCGGAGTTGAAACGTCAGACTTAAAACTTAAAACTAGCGCATCTTATAGAGGGAAAAAAGTGGCCATAAGAATGCGTCATTTATTGTGAAATATCTTTTTAAATAACTTCGGTAAAAAGTAAAAACGATTTTACAAAATTTCGTTTTTTCATAAATTATGTCACCTTCAACTGTTTGTAATTCAGGGTAAAGATGATTCTTGAATTTGATGTTATTTGCTTTCAATGTAAATGTTATTCCTATTTTGATTTGTTTGAGATAGGCCAGTTATTAATTTCCATTTGTTTGTTTAAACTCATTTAGACTAATTAGCAACTTCAATTCTTTATGTACCAATCTGCCTTTTTTGAGTGTAATAAACCTTTTCGCCCTGGCACATGCATATGCCGAAATGATAACTAACTTAGCCTAAGGTTACCGTATCCAGGACCTTCAGATACTTTCCGGATTGGAAAAGGTTTTATGTACTTTTTGCAGAAAACTTCGGAACGCTGTTTTTCACAAATGGGAAGGGATTGGAGGTACTTTTACATCTACTTGAGCTGGTCTTTCTTTATCTTATCAAAGTGTGTATTAAATTAACGTCAGATTTAAATTATTCAAATTCACGAGTTACTTATTCGGATTGTTAATCTTTGTATATTGTAGATGCGATGTAAAATGTGTTTAGGGTTTTCCACAGTTACCTCTTATGGTCCAGATTTTCCCTCTATATTTAAACTTTGTGAACAGTGATTCGAAATTTTCTTTAGTGCGGTTCTTTTGTCCGATGAGTTCTAGGAGAACATGGCATTCTTTTGGCTTTAAATGTATTCTGTCTAAATTTGTAGGAACTCTTTTGGCTTTTTGATTCATTTTACGTTACTTTTGATCAACTATTCAATAAACTTTCTTTTACTTTTCAAATTCAATAAGTGTGCGTTCCGGCTTTTCGATAATAAGCTTTGGTGTTCCGAGTTCGTGTTTTCTCGCTTATGTGAGCGCGGTAGCTGTCAGCTTGAGTACATCACAGTACCAATACCACAGATTACCCTCTGTGCCTACACACAATATCTTAGATCATATGTATTCCATAAATATAGCGTACAGAGATTAAATCCACGCCATCACATGTGAGAGAGATAGATTTATTTATTTGTTTGTTTGTTGTTTGTTTGGTTGTTTTTTATTTATTTATTTATTTATTGTCCCTCTTGTTCTGGGCCCCCAACAGGCTTTCACCCAAATTACCGAGTGACCCGCATAATGCTTTTTAAAACCTAATTCGAAGTAGCCGGCAAAATGCTTGAAACTGATCTAAGGGAATCGTGATCCCTGCCACAGATGAAAATTTTTACCTCAACCCAGGTTCGAACGCCCGACCTCCGGCTGTGTAGTCCAATGCTCTACCACAGAGCTACACATTGTGGTATTGGAGTATTCTCGAGATATTCCAATTTGTAGTGGAAAGTGTGATCCCTAACCCAAAGGTAATTATGATCCAGAATTTCCTCTTCCACATTCGGCTGTCTAGGTATGTTACACGCACGATATATATAAACTTCTATGCCAGCAACTCGGCTCAAATCATTACAGGGGTTCAGTATAATATGTTTTAGAGGAAAGCTTTTTAACTGTTACTATGTACTAATTAGGTATTAGTATTTGAGATGGTAGGATACATTAATACTGTAATATAATAAGGGAGCGAGTTGGTGTTGCGTAAAACAGGAGGCGGAATGTTCAAGAGAATTTGATTGCGTAATTTCTGATCGTTTTTGGTTAATTTACGAAATAGTATATTAAGTATGGAGAACGGTAAGGGATTTTTACCGTTCGAAGACAATTGTTTGGAGGAGGAGCGAAGCGACGACTCCAATTATTGTCTGAGAACGGTAACCATTAACGTTCGACGTGCTTATTAATAGTATATTGAAAGACAAGTGTTTACAATGCGACCTATTGTAATACGACTATCTTGTGGCACGAGTGGCGACGCTTCGCGTCGCCACTCGTGCCACAAGATAGTCGTATTACAATAAAGCATTGTAACACGCGTTTTTCATACTATTTTTTCTATTTCGGTGCTTTAATTTAATTAAAAAAATCATTATCAGAAACTATAGAGAACATTAGAACTAACATGTTTTATGTTGGGAACACTTTTTATGCCGTTAAGTTTTAGGTTGGCAGCGTAGTAAGACTTGACATTTTGAAGTTCAAACATGGAAGTACCCAACGAAGTACCTACTTGTACTAACTAGTAACTGCCAACTTAAGAAATGAGTTACCAAAAAAAACGACTATAATCACTGTCTTTGTACAACTGTTTTCGGCCGAAAACAGTTGTACAAAATCATCATTGTGACACCGAAATAGAAAAATAATTTTTTCTATTTCGGTGTTACAATGAGAATTTTGTGCAACTGTTTTCGGCAAAAACAGTGTTTCAATGAGTTCCATTGTAACATTGTTTTTGGTAACTTTTCATCTCTAAGTTGGCAGTTCGCCAAGACGTCAACGTCAAATCATCAGATGCATGTGAAATCAAATTACGTAAAATTTATGTTTTCCTTGATTTTTGGTACACGAAGAACTTAATACATTCCAAATCAGCAGTTTACACATCAACCATAAAAAAATTTATCTACGAATAAAAAATTACACATTCACGGAATTTAAAGTTTCCAAATGTCAGTGTTGTGCTTATCTACGCTGCCAACTTAAAATTTGTCAACGAAAATGGTGTTGCCAACTTAAGACATATTAATTCTAAAGTTTCCTGTAGTTTTTCATAATTACTTTTTAATTAAATTAAAGCCCCGAAATAGCAAAAATAGTATGAAAAACACGTGTTACAATGCTTTATTGTAATACTCCTATCTTGTGGACACTCGTGGCTCCGCTTCGCTACGCCACTCGTGCCACAAAATAGTCGTATTACAATAGGTCGCATTGTAACACTTGTCTTTCAATATACTATTGCGCGATCGAAATTAAAATTATGCAACCAATATAAATATGCACTAAGAAATTAACGAGCAGAATAAATTGAAATGATCGAAGTGGTATGGTGTGCATCACTAGGTAACCAGTTTATTTGTCAAAACTGAAATTAATAATTTCTTGTGCATGTGTCTGATGTAGTTTGCTAGCTTTGCACTTCCGTTATGACTTTATGAGCGAGGTATTCGCCGGTGGCCGAATGGTATGTTGAAGATTTTACAGAACAAAATTGTAATTGGAATGTATTAAGAAAAACGAAAGCACATCTTCAAACACATTGATCTCTATTGCTTCAGGTTTAAATGAAGAACGTGTTCTTTCTATAGGAAACATCAGCACAAATTGTAAGTTTAATGTAACAATAATTAAAGATTAAATGTAATGTAAGACTGTTAACATTGAACTGATTGTTTTTAAAAAGGCGTCGGTAAGTATTTTTGCTGTTCTGTTTTTAGATCGGTAAGTAATTTTGGCGTCGTCGTAATCATAGCAACTGGTAAATTCCACTTACTGTCATGGAAACACACATGGTAAATAGTCGAAATGACCGATCGCGCAAAAAATTAATTTACACTTCCATTGGATGTTCTGTAGCAAACGATTAGCAATATACACTAATCCGTCATCTAGAAATGACTTTAAACATTTAGCACTCACAGATACAACTAAAATGCGATATACATAAACCTGCCGATTCTAAGAGGAAGTGTATGTACCTATACTATCGTTAATGATGGTCTTTCGTTAATTAGTTTTGTAATTCGTTAAATAAATAAATTCCTTTAACATTTACTTTAAAGTTAAAACGTTCCACCAATACCTACCTAAATTATTGAGCTACCTACTGATTTAATCAGGCAGGTACTTAATTTGAATATCACCAAGTATATTGGCATGAAAGTTCAATGTTAGATCTTATTGTAAGGGCAATTACATAATAATGTCTGTAATTATTCATTCATTGTTTTTGTTATCATTTTATGAATGGAATGACCCACTTTTCTTTCCTGTTAGCGGATTAAATTATAGCTCATCTTTGAACCTTAATCATTTAAAGGACTCAGTTTTCAATGTTTAAACATACATATAATACAGGAGTTTATCCAGTATTTGTTACCCAGAGAACACTTCCACAATCGCTTAGGTACATGCTGAAGGAGTATTTTTTTGAAAGAATATTATTTATTTATTTTTATTGTTGGTAGGTACATACATAATGTTAGTTTTAGGGTGTTGATCGCTTAAAAATTATAATTAATAGGTAAATAATTACAATCGTAATCCACCAGAACGTTGTTCTACGCTGTAATCCCTCAATGGGTTTCAATCATTCATACTTACATCACTATAATAGGCAGCTGGTTCCCGGAAAGTGGCCGTTTTATTAATTAATACGATAATTTTTCAATTTTAATTGTAGTTTCCGAAAAAATTATGTGTAAAACTTAAGAAGAAAGTGTTTTTCACTTTCCTTCAATTAACACACAAACTCCCCTTTCTTCTCTAGTTGAACAAATAATTATTGAAATGCCCAAATTCAGACAGTGGATTGACTAATATTCAAAATTATTCAACTAAATTTTTCGGGCCTTAGGTATGTCAAATTGGTAAACGTTTGAGATTTATATTAAATCTTTGGTTAATCGAATTGCCATAGTCGAACGTGCAAGTTTGAAGCACCCTGTAGGTATTAAAATTTGTTTTCGCAGATTGTTGCATGCAAACTATCGATCGAGGCAACATTGCAATCATCGCATGCGCATCTAATAATTGTTAGGTTATGGTGTAATGTTTAATTGTGTATCCGTTTATCTTTTTGAGAAGTAATGGGGATTTTAACTGATCCTAGCGCGGGTCAGGGCAAAATAACAAAAATAATAATAAAATATTATTCAAAAATCACCATATTAATGTATGTAGGTGGTGTGATATGGTTCTGCCTACTCGCATATACTCCTTTAAACGCAGGCACATACTTTTCCGAAAATGCGCTACTACCTGGCCTGGTGAAATCCGAATTTCGAGATGAGAGCTCCGCGAAACAGTATTTCGATGAGTTGCAGGATGAAATGAAAATGTACGAAAATTCGATTCCCTACCCTTGGATTTTGGCAAAATTTCAACAGATTGGTTTAGATACTTACACTCACAACTTTACATTGAATTATCCCTTAGGAAAGGCCAATGTAAGTTACGTGTGCAATTAAAATAATACTTAGTCTTGGTGTAGATCAAATACAGCGGGAAGAATGTTTATGGGATTCTTCGTGCGGCAAGAGCTGGCAGTACAGAATCGCTGGTGATGAGCGTCCCATATAGACCTCCAAGTAATATTCATCCAAGTACGGCGTCGTCAGTTGCAATTATGCTGGCCTTTGCGAAACATGCCAATAGTACGTGCTTTCATGTTGCATTACTTAATTAACCTCTAAGATCTGTAGGACAGAAGTATTGGTCGAAGGATATTATCTTTTTAATCACAGAACATGAGCAGTTAGGTGTTCAGGCATGGTTGGAAGCGTACCATAATGTAGTATGCGGCCATCAAGGTATATTAGACCATGGCGATTTGCGGGGACGTGGTGGTGCTATTCAAGCAGCCATTAATTTGGAGTTCCAAGTTGTCAATATAGGTAAGTTCTAAATCGATACAATTTTGCAAAATGTGTAAATACTTGTTCTTACATATACAGGGTGGCTATTGAGTAGGATAACATGGCTATCTTTGTTGTTATTAACGAGCTCCTAGCGAGTTTATAATTTTGTTGTGTCTGTCCGTCCGTCCGTTAGCACGATAACTCATAAACGAATGTACCGATAACGATGAAATTTTGCAGGTGGATTCTTTATCAAATTTGTAGATCGGAGTTCGTGAATTGGAAATGTAGCCCAAAAAATAAAGTAGGCCCTTTTGACATCTCCGTTAGTTATGAACCGAATTGCATGAAATTCAATATGCGCATAGCTTTAGCCATATAAAACACAATTTCAAAAGTTGAACCTAATCGATCAGCATTCACAGTGCCCTTTGCGCATCTCGACCATTTACAGACCGAATTGCAAACTTTCTTATTTATGAAGGTATTTAAATGAAATTTGATACATAGCCACTTGGAATAAAAGTAAATTTAACATCAGTTTCAAAATTTGGTTTTGCGCATGCGCAGCTTATTTATGGAGGCATTCAAATGAAATTTCATACATATACACTTTAAATAAAAGCAAAACTAACATCAGGTTTAAAATTTGGTTTCGCACATGCTATAGCCATACCCAGGAGCTCGTTTGCTATAGTTGTTTAATTTATTATAGTCCAGGGAATAGAGGGTTTTAGCATGCAAAATGAGAAGTAGTTCCAATTTCTTTTGCATGTCGTAGACAGTCATCTGGTGGTTAAGAATCTAAGTTTTCGACCTCCCACCCCTTGTGCTTCCCCCGTACCACCCCCAAAACCCCTGAAATTTGGTTGGTTTCTTAGTTTTTCAATCGTATCTTTTTAATAGTTCACTTTAGAAAAAAATATTGTTATCAGAAATTGTAGACCATAAAATTCTACACAACTTTGATGTACACTACTTTTTTGTGAAATGTTTATTAAAAAAGATATAGAGCTTGAGAGTTGGTTATATTTTTAAGAATTCTGAAATTTCTATGTAGGTGTTTTAATCAAATTTCATACTTTTACACTATAATTAAGAGTTTTATGAGAAAATATCTTGAATTTATCGTGGTATAAATCCCTCTACCCTGCACCCTTACCAAAGGGGATGCATAATAATGAAACTTGCAACCCTTGCTAGTGAGGATATTTGAATTACTGTGAGATTATAGCCCTTTCTAATATACTTTTGAAATGAAAAAATTGTCTCACTTCAGTTCAGTTTAACCCCCCTCCCCCTCTCCCCCCCGCGCGGAAAGAATAGATATTTAAACGCTCTTGTGGCGATTGTGAAGTTAGTCAGAGAATACAACGCTTATTACATAATATTTTCTATTCCTCTTAAATATCTATTCCTACCGTGGTTGGGGGGAGGGGGGGGGGATGAAGGATGAAGCTGAACTGAAGTGAAAATAATTTTTTGTTTCAAACGTATATTAGAAAGCCCTACAATCTCACAGTGATTCAAATATCCCCACTAGCAAGGGTTGAAAGTTGAATTATTATGCATCCCCTTTGGTAAGGGTGCAGCGTAAGGGTATTTATGCCACGATAAGTTGAAGATATTTTCTCATAAAACTCTTAATTATAGAGATAAAGTATAAAATTTGGTTAAAACATCTACATACAAATTTTAGAGTTCTTAAAAATATAAGCAACTCTGAAGCTCTATATCGCTGTTAATAAACATTTCACAAAAAAGTAGTGTATATCAAAGTTATGTAGAATTTTATAGTCTACAATTTCTGATAACAATATTTTTTTGTAAAATGAACTTATAAAAAGATATGATTGAAAAACTAAAAAACCAACCAAATTTCTTTGGTTTTAAGGGTGGTACGGGGGAAGCACAAGGGGTGGGGAGTCGAAAACTTGGATTCTTAATCACCAGATAGTCTTTCATGACATGCAAAAAAAATTGGAACTACTTCTCGTTTTGCAGGAAATGGTCCATTTTCAGTCTCTATTTCCTGGACTATTATACTTACAGGTTAAATTGGCAAAGTTGTGTAGTTTTTGATGCTGATGGATATTTTGATGCGATATTTTAAAAAAAAATTTTCAACATGGTGGTTTTCGAGATATTGACATCAACTTCCTTATTTTAAATGGACGCCATATTGGATTTTTACGTCACTCGATAAAGAAAAAAAACTACAAAACAGGTGATACTAAACACTTGGCATTTCATTTGGAAATCAACCTTGCATTTTTGCCTCGAAGTTTACAATATATTTCTTATGGCAATAATTCTCTGGTTGTTTGTGATTGAAACCAAATTCGTTCGTTTATTGTCTTACATAGTCACTAACGACATGACCATGGAATTATTGCCATAAGAAATATATTGTAAACTTCGAGGTAAAAATGCAAGGTTGATTTCCAAATGAAATGTCAAGTGTTTAGTATCACCGGTTTTATAATTTTTTTCTTTATTGGGTGTCGTAAAAATCCAATATGGCGTCCATTTAAAATAAGGGAGGTGATGCCAATATCTCGAAAACCGCCATTTTGAAATTTTTTTTACATCCATTGAATTTATCCCATTGCATCTTGCAACTTTTATTTGAAACGATAGCGCTCCTTGATATTTGAACTTTTTGAAAATGGCGATTTTCATTTTTTTCCAATTATCTACGAAACGAATTACAGTTTTCAAAATATCGGAATATCCATTAGCATCAAAAACTACACAACTTTGCCAATTTAACCGAATCTGTAAGTATAATAATAACAAAGATAGCCATGTTAGGTACCCTACTTAATTTAAGACACCCTGTATAGTCCTGGCTATATAATATTTTTTGACAACAAAATTAGTTACCGGCTCAAACCGGGTTTTTCATGTAGGTGCAATGATTACAATGTGGGAAAAAATAATTAAAACAGCTGACATTTTCCGCGGGTGAAATTCCAGGGGTTGAAAGGAGTGGAAAGTGGTATTTTGCAATTTATGACAAAACTAATTTGAGGCGAAAATGTTTAATTCAAAAGTAATGCAATATTTTCGTAAAAGTAATAAAAAAATAAACAACTTTTATATCTGCACTATTTTCCCATAACCTCAAACTTTCCGAGAAAAACCGGAAAAAACTGTTATTTTGTTTTGTATTCTTATATCTGCTTAAAAAAGTTTCAAAAACAAAAGATATACCCAGTGGAAAAATGTTGAGAAAATCATCAAAAACTCGAAAAACAGTTTTAAGATATAAGTACACCGTTTTTGACATGATAAATGACTATTTTGTACAACTAAATCAACGTGTTGGATCCGCGCTAATAAAGATTTCTTCTTTCTTCTCTGTAATGTTGTTAAAATATTTTCCCCTTATGCTCAACTGTTTTAATTAAAACATCTTTATTATTTCTTTTTTCCTCATTTTTACCGCAATAAACGCAATTCCAAGTTAAATCGAATTCTTTTGCTTCCTGAACAATTTGTTTTTCTTCACTGACTCTTCGTCCTGCATGTTTTACAGCTGCTGCAATTGCGCTGGCAGGTTGAAAAACTTGAAATATCTGCAATAGAAATGTTAGTTGTATTGGCCAAAGCAAGAAATGATATAATGAGATATACAACCTGGAATAAACTTAATGAGACTTATTCATAATTCCTGCAAATTAACGATCGACAGGCCTAGTGCAATCGCATCTGCTGCCAAACAGGGAGGAAGAAGAGTCAGTGACCAAAAACAAATTGTTCAGCAAGCAAAAGAATTCGATTTTTCTTCAAATTGCTTTTATTGTGGTAAAAATGCAGAAAACAGAAATAATAAACATGTTTTAATTAAAGTAGTTCTGCACAAGGAATTTTAGCAACATTAAAGAAAAGAGAGAAGACAGATTTCGAAAAATCTTTATTAGCGCGGATCCAATACGTTAATTTCGTTGTAAAAAAAAGCTATTTATTATGTCAAAAACCGTGTATGCCTTAAAAATGTTTTCCCAGGTTTTGGCGATTTTCTCAAAATGTTTATATTGGAATAAGTAGTATTTTTTATTTTTGATTATGAAAATATAAGTCCTCATGAAAATTTTGCTACATGGAACAACTGTGTACGATGCAAAATATAGATTTTTCATTCCCCTGAAAAAAAAGGTTTTTTTCGAATATCATGAAATCTCGGAAAAAGCTTAACTATCCCGTCCAAAAAAATTATCTAATTTTTTAATCGTAAAACAAGCTATTTTTTCTTCAAATTTCAAACCTCTACGACTTTTTTTGCACAAATAAGAATAGAAAACGAAAAAAATAGTTTTTCCAGTTTTTCTCGGAAAATTTAAGGTTATGTTTCCATCATTCCATCTGCATGAAAAACCTGGTTTGGATCGGGAACTAATTTTTTTTTAAATAAATTATTTTAGAGCTGTTTAGGCTGGGGTGGACTAATATGACAGGATTGTATCGGATTTTTGATGATTAGACAGTTTCCATTTTGTTATTGATGACTTGATTTGGCATCTTATGAGTAACCACTTCGCAATAATATGTTGTACATAATTAACTATGCTTGTCCAAATAAACCGTGCAGTAGAGAAGAAACCGGTGATAACTGTGAAATCTGAAAATGATAATGAAAAAGTCAATGAAACAAATGTGTTCTGCTTTGAAGACCTTATCAGAATGCAGTTGCGGTGCAGTGCTTATTCAAATAAGTGTTGTTTCCCTATCTCTGCAAATAACTCGAGGCAATCTACTCTATTATTGATATTTTACGATTCAGTTCACATTATGACACTCATACTGCTTTGGTAGATTTATGTGTTACCATTGGTCTGAGTACTACATCTTTGGTGTTCAGTGCCGCACAGCCTAAATTACATTTTATTATTTGTTACAGGAAGAATGGATATCAAAGTGGAAGGATTAAATGGTCAATTGCCAAATCTGGATTTATTTAATTTGGCCACCAGAATGTGTGCCAAGGAGGGAATCATGCATAGCTTCAAAAATCGCGAAAATCGGAATTATCGTCAACCAATGAAAGATTGGTCTTACGCATTTGAAACAATGATGTATATGGTGTTTACGCAAGCTACTGGGGTAAGCGGCGAAAACAATTAACATATTTTTACCTTTTCATTATTAGATACCAAATGGAAATCACGGTTTGTTTCATAGATTTGGCATTCAGGCGCTTACACTAGAGGGCGTCTCCGATCATAGAAGTCGTCATGGAAATTTTTTGTCCACCGGGCGTGTTTTGGAGAGCATTTTTAGAAGTTTGAATAATTTACTGGAGCGATTTCATCAAAGTTATTTTTTTTATTTATTGCCTTCGTCAGATAGATTCATTTCAATTGGTGTGTTTTTCGCTCTTTGATAAAATGTGATAATGATTATTTTTGTAGGTTTGTACATTCCATCTGTATGTCTTATTGCTGGAGCTCTCTTTCTGAAAGCCTGTGGTAAATGGTTTCGCCTGTATCAGTATTTGGTTAACTTAAGTGAACAAGGTAGGTAATTGAAACCAATAATTGCGGTTTGCAATCGAGTAGGTATAGTATTAAGTTTCTTGAGAACAAAAATACCATTATCGCGATCAACTACAACAGCAGAAGAAGTTATTATGTACTTTTGTTTAAGAAATGTAGATGTATAGAAAGGTAATTTTTTTGCAATTCTATGATAAACTGTGGGTACCTTTTGTTAACATACCATACAACACGAAGTAAGACATCATTCATCCACAAATTAATAAAAATATGGAATTAAAATCTACAATTTATCGACTCCAAAACTATCTTGCAGTAAAGCAGATTGAGTATGAATTGTATAAGTGAGTTTTCGAAAGATGACATAATAGACTAATGTATAGGTATATACATACAGTGCTATTTATTAAGAAGTAGACATAGGGATTTTATTCGGATTTTAATGCTCTTCAAATAACCTAAACAGATTTTTCCTCTAAAATAATCAGGAAAGCCAATAGTTAACCTTCAAATTGATTTCTTATGTCCCGCCAGTCGATGCAACATGCTGTATATGCATCACATGTATTGTGTGTTGCCTACTTTTAATTTGAATTTTCGATGCAACATGGCAGCTGGGCTTCAATTGTCTACAAAGGTACTGTATTTAAGGCATTGAATAATAAATCTGAATAGAAGGTCAGTGAGATAGGAGAAAAGGTGGCCAGTATTCTTTATCTAGAATGTGCTGGTATCGTACGGCAAGTAACAAAACGTGATTAAAGGAAACTCTTCAACATTTTTTAATTCATACAATATAGCCGAGATACTCACTTCAAAATGAGTAGAGAGGTGAGAGAGAATGTTTTGACTACGGTGACATCATGCCATTGATAAACTTACGCACGTCGGTAACTGGATACCTTTGATACAACGATCGTCTAAATATAGTTTTCAGATGAATATCCGACTTAATGTTTTAACAAGTTATAAGTTCTTAATTCAATAATAATAACAGCGTTGTTGCAGAACGTAAAAAGTCAATTATTGGATACAAGATAATTAGACAACAATATGCTATGATAATATGATAAAGGGAAGGGTCCGTTCACTTAGCCAAAAATGAACTAATTTTTTTTACGTATTGTGCCTCAATAATCATTTGTGCTCAATAGTGCATTTATTCGCACCGTTTGTGCCTTTTTGGTTTTGGAGATAATAGGACAAATCAAATGGGGGCAACTTAAATCGTTATTTTTTTGTTATTTGTGACATTTTCAACTAACTACATACGAAATTAGATCATTCACTATAGTAGTAGGCGAGAGACACTTTGCCCCAAGGCCCATTCTCCAAACGAGTACCTATAACTTTTGTTTGAAAAGTTATTTTAAAATTTTGTTCCTTAACTCATCCAGTATGTACACAACCAATTTCGTGGAATTCTCTCCATTTTCGTTGTCCGGCCAAGAATTGCAGTGGAACTTTTTTTTCAAATTTTCAAAAACTAATTCCAGATTCGTGATTTTTATGTTCAAAAACCGCCAGGCACCAAATTTCGTCGAAGCAGGGGTGCGCCCTTCCGTGATAGGAATTTTGAAAATTTTTTTCAAAATCGGAAAGGGCATACCCGAAAACCTAATTAAAAACGTGTCACTCATCTTTGTAACTGTTGTGTAGTGATTGTTTCAGGTACGGTGAAAATTTTTTTGCGGTTTTAGGTCACTAAGTAGGTCTATTTTAAGAATCCGCCCAAAAATGTCTGCAAAAAATACAAAAATTAAATTTTTTAAAAATATGGGCATGTAGCACATCGATTTTAGGGTTTTGAAGTTTTCTGAATTTAAATTTTTAGTTAAAAATGTTTTTGGGGGCATTTTGGAGGAGTGGGGGTGTTTTTAAGGGGTGGGTTTTTATATTTTTTCAATATTAACGTGTCGCTGTCATACATCGATTTATATGTTTTTATGGATAAGGATCTCGAATTCCATATCAAAATGGAGGTACAGCAAGTTATTCAATGTTAAAAAAGTAGAACGACGCCGACAGACGGCCCGAAAATAACATAAAAGGCACGGTACGCCTCGCCCGCGCTGCACGCCATCATTTTAATAAAAAGATAATAATTTTGACGCTATCTTGTATATCTTTCTAGGATTTATTCAAAAATCATACTTTGACATCAAAATTGTAATCTCCACCCCAAAAAACCTATAAAAAGACGTATCGCACTTGTTATAATTATTATCTTTTTATTAAAATGATGTCGTGCAGCGCGGGCGAGGCGTACCGTGCCTTTTATGTTATTTTCTGGCCGTCTGTCGGCGTCGTTCTACTTTTTTAACATTGAATAACTTGCTGTACCTCCATTTTGATATGGAATTCGGGATCCTTATCCATAAAAACATATACATCGATGTACGACAAGTTAATATTGAAAAAATATAAAAACCAACCCCTTAAAAACACCACCCCAATCCGCCAAAACGCCCCCAAAAATATTTTTAACTAAAAATTTAAATTTAGAAGGCTTAAAAACCCTAAAATCGATGTGTTATATGCCCATATTTTTTAAAACTTTAATTTTTGTATTTTTTTGGCCGCCATCTTGAATTTCTCAAAATGCTTAAGGGTGTCAAGGTGGCAGTCTCCTTACGAACAAAAAACCGTCAAAAAACCTTCACCGTACCTCACTTCCAGGTTAAGCCAAAAATCCCAGTTTGGCATCCAGTCTATTAGGGAAGCGATTGAAGAATGAAAGGACACGTCACGGAGAACGGCAGCGACCGCGCGGTACAGCAATAGTGCTGTCGCTTGTTTACTTCCATGTTTTCTATAATATTAATAATTATGTTTGTGTGCCAATTAATATAGTTTGCGTTGAGCAGATTGTTGCTGCCCTTTCTTCCAGTAAGACAACACAAAAGTAACTGGTGATTGCTGAGAAAAAAATTAAAGAACTCCAAATTTCACCACTTCTTTGGGAGTGGCTCCCAAACGAAACCGTCCGTTTGACCCTCGGTTTATTTGAAAAAAAGTGCTTATCTTGAACCCCTCGGCCGTCTACCACCCAATTTTCACCCTGTATAACCAACTTTAAATGACATCCTTACCTTTCCATGTCTGTATATATTAGAAGTTTTAGTTTTTGTTAAGATGAATTCAGATATTTTCAATTTTCTGAACGTTAATCATCAATACAACACAAGGTATGGTCATAAGCTGCAGTATGAAAGACATAATCTGAAAAAGTATAAACAAGTATAAATTGTGCACAACTCTTGTACAGATAAAGCGCATTTTTTAACCGAAATAGCTTTTGTTTTGACATCACTAATTGATATATTTCTTGCAGACGTCTCAATCGCCCTTTGTGAGTACCACGAACTTATAAATTAAGATGGACTGTTAATGCTGAATTGACAAATGACACCTACATGGGGGCCGCCATGATGTGCACTCACATGGCGCGAAATTCAAATCAACTAATAAACAATTCCCCTAGAAAATAACTAGAATGTGCACATCATGGCGGCGCCCATGCTAGGGCCATTTGTACCTCTATGCAACTGTTTGATCAGCGGTCCATCTTAATTTATAAGTTCGTGTGAGTACCCTCTTCCGACAATCCGATCTTGAGGTATAAGGGAATATACCTGATCACGATAAGAGGTTGAGGAGGAGGGCTATGGTTGGTAGAAATTAATTCCTTTCGTTGAGACTCTTTTCATTAGAGTATCATGATGAAGGATAAAACCAGTTCCACCCCCCCCCACCCTCTGATCTCGAAAATGAGTCGCCCGGAAAAGCTATAGTTTGTACAAATCAGTTCCTTTGATGAGACCTAAGCGTTCACTTGGCCCCAGGCTTAGCCCCCATTTGATTTTTCCTCTTATCTCCGAAACCAAAAAGGCACAAACGATGAGTATGAAAGCACCATTAAACACAATCGAAGTACTACGCAATACCGTCGATGAACTATCAAAAAGTTTAATTTTTGGGAGGGCTAAGCGTTCACTTAGCCCCCATTTGATTTTTTCGATTATCTCCAAAACCAAAAAAGCACAAACGGTGCGCATAAATGCACAATTGAGGCACAATACATAAAAAAAATTGGTTCATTTTTGGGCTAATGGGGGGCTAAGTGAACGGACCCTATGATAAATGTATGTTCTCTTGATTTATTTTTTGACGGTAAAAAACATTCCATTGAATGCGATTGACGACTGCGTCTCTTGCTATGGAAATTCATAATAGCTTTGAAATTTCTTATTCGATCCGTAAACTCGAGAACTTAAGCCGTTCTCTGCATACGACTAGGAAAGCGCTTCAATAGAAATTATATGGGTCGAATAATAGCGTGTCTAGGTGTGGGACTTAGTATAACATTTTGAGTAAATTGGATTCTATACCGTGTTGTTAGGTGCCGATGTAAAGATAAAGGACACATCTATGCCTCTATTGTAACAGATTTTTGATTTAATACTCGAATTTTGCATAAATAATTGTAGAAGTACTTGATATTTATGGTATTTTCAGGTGCCGTAATTATTAATATTTAAAAAATATCAAAAATATGTTACAAGAGAGACGTAGAAAAAGGTTTAGAAGCAAACGTGCCGGCATGGCGTTTTCGAGTCTTCGTTTCGTAAAAGTGCAATACAATTTCTTTCATGAAGCCGATTTAAAAAACCTTTCATTTCACATCATAATAGATTATATTGCACTTCTCTCATTTGAATTTTAAAGTTGTTGTTTAAAGTAGTACTTAATTCCAAATTTTGTCTCAAAAACATGTTATTTGTGCATTTATATACGGAAACAGCAATTAAACAATATCTGTAAATGCTCGCACAACTGAGACTGACAGTATATTGCATATTCTGAAATATCCCAAAACACTGTCTATAGGTACAATAATAGTAAAGTTTAATTTCGATCTTAAAGTCTACATAAGGTAAGATCGTTGGAATCAAGATTTACTTGTAAGTTGATAACTTTGACGTCATTTCCTAAGAGGTGTGCAAATAATAACATGTATTACGTAAGCATAAGTTTGTAAATAC